AACCGTTTCAACAATGCGGCTTCATTGCTAGCCAAACAAAAAAGGAAAAGTTTTCTGTGACGTATTGTTACTGGCGATGAAAAGTCAATATTTTGTCCAGGAAAACCAAGCGCATCGACGCCGAAGCAGAAAAGTAATGGCCATAACGGTTTGCTGCTCCTATGGCAGGGTCGGCATGGGGTAAGGTGTTACGAGTTTCTAAAACCAACTAGAACTGTTGCTGCTCAAAACCAGGACGGACAGACGAACTTTTATGAAGAAGTGAACAAATAGAGTCATATTGCAAGAGGTTCAAATCCTGCCACACGCGATGCAAAGTTTTCACATCAATTTAAGTTATTTAAGTGTGATGCTCCTTTCCTGCACGCTCCTTTCACATCTTGCCCCATTTCCGATGCAGGGTGTACTACGTCTGTGTGTACGCATACAACAATCAGCTGTTTTTTGGGTATACCTGTCTTTTATTATATCGATCGATTTAGAAGCAATTTCTGAATCGATTTAAGTTTGTCCGTCCGTCAGTCCATTTAATGTCTGCTCATGTATTCTTGCGCTCAACGTTGCAAAGTCGCGATTTTTCACATCGTTTGATGTCAGAGTTTGGTAGGGACGAACATTATTCGAAATGGATTCGATCGGACAATATTTTCGATCATTTTGCTCTTCTTTTTAAAAATCGTTATATCAAAAAAATTGCAATTTTCATATTTTTTTTGACAAAACTTACTAAAAAATCGTATTTCGATAAATCGAATTGATTTAATAATTTAGATCGTGGATATTTTGAGTCTCCCCTTATATAATCATTTCTACGAAAGATAAGCCCTTACGTGGGAAAATGATCTGATTTTAAATATTTCGTGATAAAAATTTGTACATAACAGTAATGTTACATAGAAATTATGTACGGCTTATATAATCTATGTGGGTCTATTTACCGGAACCGACAACGTACAAGGGTACTCGTGGGAAGTAAATCTTTATATGACAACAAAGTCCAATTTTTAGTTTACTTTAAGACGAAGGTAGACAGATACTAACAGGCTTCTTGATAAGATATTTAATCTTACGTTTGGTCGCGTGTGTTTTGGGTCCTCTTGCGTAAAAGTGCCCCCGTAAAAGTTATACTTTTACAACAACAACAACAAATCAATAAATTGTAATATTTTATCGGAGAAGAATTGTATCGGACCACGTGGTTTAGCGTATTTAAAGATCGACCTTGTCCGAGTGTAATGTATTTACTTGTTTTAAAATCTAAACAATCTTCAGTTATATGGCTTAGGAAAGATTACCAAGATGATCCAGTCAAGCGAATTTTTGTTATGCATCTCACTTGAAGAAATTTACTTATCTCAAAACGATTAAAAGAAATTTTAATAATTTAATTGAACGACAAGCTTTAGTTTAATGTTTGCGAAAAAAATTTCCAAAAATTTTTTTAAAAAATTTCACAAAAAATTTTTATATAAAAAAAAAAAAAAAAAAAAAAACAGAAATAAGAATAAAAAGAATATTTTCGAGTTCAATTATGATAAAAATATTTTATAATTGTTTAAATACATAATAATAATTTTTATATTCTTTAATTAAAAACATACAAAACAAATATTTAATTTTAATAACATTTTATTAGGTACATCTGAACACACTGATAAACTTATAAAAATAATTTAAAACTATTAGTAATAATAATATGACTAGATTTGAGGCGTAAAACTGTTTTCAATTCTTTTCTTTTCTTATTTTTTTTCTTTCTTGTTTGTGCACCGTTACACCCGCCACCAATGCTCATAATGAAGCAGTAATATGGGGAATTATTTTAATTGCTTTAATTAATGCAAAACGTCCCTTAATGTGAAATTAATATTTGCAAAAAAAAAAATATTAGGTTGAGTCGTAAGTAACCTCCGATCAAAGTACGTACAATCTATCGTTCGTAGTTAGCCACTATAAGTCAACGAAGCAAACTAGTTTTTGTTTTCACTAAGAATGAGGATTCAGTTAGTCTTCTGTCAACTGTTTCATGTGATGCGTGTTACATACAACTTTTCGTCTTATCTTCTGAAATAGAGAGTGAATAAGAGCATATTCGAAGTTGCAATGCTTTGGGACAAGATAATCGTGCTAAGGCGACTGCGGATATGGTGAAGAACTGATAACTTATTCGGGGGGAAATTGGTTTGCAAAATTCCCTTCTGGAGATACGACCTTAAAAGACCGACTCTCCCACCGATAACTTCGACGTTGACGACAACCTTTTAAAGGCAATAGTGGAGCAGAATTCTCACCAATCAACAAGTGGTGTAGCGAAAAGATTGAATACTTCACAATCAACTGTGAAGTTGACATCATTTTGTTATTCAATAAAAACAAAATCTGATAAAAAAAAGGAAGTCACTTATGACTCGACCTAATATTTATATTAGGCTATCTTATTGACAGCACTAGGTGAAGTATTCTTCTTTAATGACAGCGACTAACGCTTTGCTTTTTCAATTACCTATAAGGTCTAGCAATAGAAATTTTGTCCTCCTTTTAAAATAAAAAAGCATGTAAATGTATTATTATATATGTATACATTAATACATTAATAAATTGCTTTCAGAAATTATTTTTGATTGATCTTTTGAAGGCGTAAGTGTATTAAAAGAAATTTTTTTCAAACAAAATATCCTTTGTATTTGCTGACGTAGACTTAGTATGAGTGTTCTTATAATACTTGCGAGGAAAATTCCGAAAATAATTAAACATAATTTGGAAAAATTAAAATTTATTCCTTTCGCCTGATTAGTAATTCTTTGGAGATATTACAAAATATGTGGTAGGGGACCATTGCTGTGTGTGTTGGGTGCTCTTTTGATTGAACTGAGAATTTGAAATGATTTACCTACACGCACATCTCTTTTCTCTGTTGTTCAAATTTCCAAAGTCGCTGAAATTGAGACATAAAACTAAAGTATTTCCGACTAAGATCCACAAATCTTTCATTATTATTATGATCAATTTAGCCGAAGAAGTAAATTCTAAGACTAAAGTCTTAAAGCATAAAAATCTAAGGCTATAGGCTTGATATTTCAAGTCGCGACCATTAAGTTGTTAGCCGAGTAGTCTTTACCTGCTCGGTCATTCAGTCGATTACATTTGAAATACTGTTATTAACGTGCGTGCTTTATGGTATAATCTCTGTCGAAGAAAAACTCTTTTATTTTTATACCCTACACTACTTGTGAAACAAAGGTATGTTAGATTCATGCAGATGTACGCAGCACACAGAAGGAGTTGAAACGGAGCCTACTCCGATTGATTCAGAAGCACTTTCCGGATCGATTTAACCCTATCTATCCGCTTTTTTTTCCTTGTGGTCAAGCTGACGAGTGCAAATTTTTAAATCTTTTGATGACATTTGGTGCACTGATGCGTTTTGGTCTAAGGACGAAAAGATTCATTTCGTTCGGAACGACTAGCTTTTCGATAAATTTCCATACAAGCCTTCGAATAAATTTGTAGCTCGAACACTTTTGCGAATGTATAAATGAAAATAGAAATAGTTTTTTTTTTTACATATATTTCTACGTTTTTTCAATGCTTTAGCTGTCTATGCAGGTTTTTAGGATTCATTTTTCAGTATGCGAAAGTTCTGTTAAAATCGGCCTTCCGTTTTAAGATGTTTCCAAACCGTGGCTATTAAAACTTTGCACTCGTACATGTCGAAATAACTAGAATCTCCGATAATTTATTTAATCTAAAACAGGGACCATGAACTATCCACGGACAAGACTCAACTTACGTCATATAATGAAATAATCATTGGTCGTACACAGTCTCGATGTTTTAACATGTGCACCAACAGGTGGATACTTCAATTAGGCGAAGCCCGCAGGCTTAACGGATAATTAATTTTCAACATTTTATTTCAATGTTTTGCTATCGTGATAGTGCCAAAAATAGCTAACAGTGAGAGATAGAGAGAGAGAGAGAGAGAGAGGGAGGAAGAGCAGACAAATCATTTCATAATTCGATTTAATTTCAAATTAAGAATACTTTGTTTAATTAATTTAATTGGGTAATCGATAAATTGTCTAATGTTATACATATTCGTTAATTGGTATAATAACCACATAAGTGTAATAAATATTTAAATAAAAAATTGTACCGTTTTTAATGAAATTAAAAATCAATTAAATATATTATTGATTTTGAGAAAGGGGAGCAACTTTTAAAATTGTTTTCTTGTCTCCCCGACTTGATTTATAGCGATATCCATATCCATATTGTAAACTATAATCATAGTCACATACACTGAACGAAATGCAAGGCCTCTAATTACGAAGGCATAGGCTAACACTAGTGGCGGGTATAATGAAGTTTACTTTTTGTCTTTTTGTGTTTTTCTTTGTTGTTGTTATTGTTTTTATTTTTTTTTATTTTTTTATAAATATTGTTATTGTTGTGTTTCTTATTTCTCATTTCTTGTGGTAATTTGTTTTTGTTTGTTAGCGATAAAGGGGTTGGCTCTGTTACGGTTCAAATTGAATTGGATTTTGACAGCTTAAACAACCACTAATTTTTTTCAATTAACGTCAAGAGCTGCACATAATAAAGCAAAAATGCTACTTAGAAAATAAGCGCAAAAAAGAAACATTGAGCATTGTTTTCAAAATGAATAAGTCACGTAAGGTATACGCTTAATAGAAATAAATTTTGCTTTTGTGATTATTTTTTTTTTTTGTTATTTTTGCTTTTGCATTCGAAAATATAGTTTATTTTATTTCTCGTATTTGTTTTTTTTTTCTTTTTTCATTTCTTTTTTCTGTTTTTTTCACTTGGTTGGTTGGTTGGTATATTGCGTTTGTTTTGTTTCTTTTCGTTATACAAATTACTTAATTACTTATTTACTAACCATTAGAAAAAAAAATAATAAAATTTATTAATAAATTATTTAAAACGAAAAATTACTTACATATACATACATATCTATATATATATATATATATATATATATATATATATAGAAATAGACATAGAGAAAGAGAGAAAGGGATAGAGACATGCATTTATACACTGAGATATAAAAACATTGTGTAGAATAATAAATTCAAGAAGAGAAGGAAGAGAACATTATTACAATAGTTACAATTACTTGAACAGTTAGCTAGTGTCTCCGTAGGGTTCGTGCGGGAAAGTTTAAAACGGTAAACTGGCCACAAACATATTCTCAATTAAAGCCGGTGCCGGCACTAGGTCCTCAAGTTTTAAATAAAATATCCTTTGTAGACCTTGGACACTTAATGACCGCAGTTCCGGTAGTTTGCCCAAAAGTCGGCTGAAATAGTGAGGTTTCTTCTGGGCCTCAGCATTATAGGTAACATGATCACGCAAACTGCCAATGATTTTCATTTGCAATTGTTCTACTTTTTTCGGTTCACGTAGACCATGACGTTCTGTAATATAAAATTGAAAATCAAAAATTCCTTCATGGCATAAATAAAACTGAAGCGAAAAAAAATTGTAAACATCAGATAGACTAAAAAGTATTAAGCTTTATGCGAAAGCATCATTACTTCGAGGCGATGGATTGCCATTATCCAACTAACTTTGGAACAAAGTGGAGCGTGTATTGAAGTCTTACACTAAGAGATAAAATATAATACTCTAACCTAACTTTCTATGCTTCAACATGGAACTTTATTGCGACTAAAGAATCTAAGGTTGTACAGTGCGATCGGGTACGTTTGAATACTTAAGGCGAAAAAGAGTTATAGACATAACTCAGCAGTAGGCGCTCGATAATAAAGTAGTTAATAATAATATACTGAAGCTAGTCGAGAAAGGATGAGCATGAAAGTAGTCTTAATCGTATCAAAGATCCGTCATGAAGGGGTGTTAACCCATTGGAAGCTGGTTAGCCGGTTAAAAGAAGAAATTTGATATTTGATAGCCGCCCGGTTTTCAATCGATTCCATCTGCAAATCTTTATTTCTTTTTAAGGCAAAATATAAAACTTTGTATGCCTCGACAACGATGATCGGAAAACATATCGTTCGAAGGGAGGAAAATCTGTTCAATCTGCAGTTACGCTCTATATATGGGAGGCCTTATCATTCATTACCAACTGTTGCCCACGATATATTTCTTCGACAATTGGAGCGCTTCAATCCGATGCCTGGAGCTTGCCGATGTCCATTACATTAGCGTTTGTCTTCATCAGAAACTGATGGAAATTTCTAGGGAGATTTTCATTTATCTAATCCAGATCATCTAGTGCTCAGTTCAGCTTAAGCTGAACTTTCAAAAAAGGGTTTTGTTGTACTATATGAGCTATGAGTAATGTAAACCAATGGACATCCATTGTATTTGCAATTTTTACTTTTAAAAGCTTAACACTTTTTGTACAACATATTAGCAATGTTTGTTAAATACCTTACCTGTTACCAGGGTAAGTGCGCATAAGCAAGCAAAGGCCGATATGTCAATTTCTAGATTATGTAGACTTTTGCTAAACTCCAGTATGCCATTCAGCCATTCACCAAATGAACGTTGGCACTGGCTTCTGTGCAGCACTACACCATTGCAAAATGTCATTTTGGTGTCATCGACACGGGCACGATAAGATAGCCGGAGTACAAATAATTCCAATGAAGCCGACTGAAATAGCAACTCTTGGTCTTCGGGTGTTAGTTCCGAATAGCCGGGTATTTTCTCGGCAAATTGTTTGATAACCTCAACCGAGGTGGTCAGAAGGTTGAAAAATTGCTGGACTTTTTCAGCTTCACTCATTAATAGGGGCATACCTTCTTGAATGGGTTCGCGATATTGTGAGTAATCCAGGCAAGAAGGATCGGGTGTGGTATCGACGTGGCTGCGCACAAGTGCCGTAATCAAAGATACCGGTGGAGATGGCGGTGATTCTTGAGGTGATTTGGGTTTTGAAGGTAAGCGACCACGTCGCCCTTTGAGGGAATCAGTGCGTACTACTTCTTTGACCATGCCTACGGCCAAACATTTTTGAAAGCGGCAAAACTGACAACGGTTACGACGCCTTTTGTCGACGGGACAGTTTTTATCGGCTAGGCATACATATTTCGAACCTTTTTGGACGGTGCGTTTAAAAAAGCCCTTACAGCCCTCACAAGTGCGTACGCCATAATGCTGACAAGCGGCCGTATCCCCGCAGACTGCGCACAGCTGCGAGGTAGGAGTTTGTACTACGCGCCCATTAAGTAAGTCACTGGCGCTGTGCGCACTTATGTGGTGTAAGCTAGGAGTGGCTGTTTGTTGCTGACGAACACTGGGCGAACTGGAGGCAGAACTGGGAGCACTGGATATCTGACCATGTGAATGATGATGTGGATGTTTAAGGTGTGAGCTGGAATTAGGAACGTTTGAGCCAATAATTAATTTCGGAAGTTTGGGGCTATGATTAACTGCGGGTGAATCTGAACGTTGAACGGGCATGGAAGCTCGTCGCAGCGGAGTGAGAACTGAAACGGAAGCAACGGAGGTATTTTCTAATTCGGTCATGGCGGAATACGTGGGTAATGAATAACGCTCGGCTGTTGTCGATGATGTGCCGTACGTCTAAAAATTATAAAAAAAAAGAAGATAGTTCGCTCATTTGAACGTTTCGACGAAATTTAACTTACATTTTGCAATTGCTGCAGTTGCTGTTGATTTTGTTGTTGTTGTTGTTGAGATAACGGATATTGTTGATAAAAACTATCGCTGTTGTTGCTTTGAAAATTTGGTGTTATATCTGCGGCAGACGGGCCAACACTGCTATTGAAATCATATGAAGATGCCGATGAATTTGATGATGTTGTTGCCGGTACTGGTGTTGTTGTGGTAGGCGTGGCGTTAAAGTGGCCATGATAATTATAATTGGGGACTACTGCGTTATTCGGATGGGTTTGCAACGGTTGCTGCATTTGATGTTGTTGTTGATGATGGTGGTGATGGTTGTGATGCTGATGATGATGCTGAAGATGATTATGTTGCTGATTAAGAGCCGGCCCTCCTATGCCTTCATTTGACGGTGTTACTGTTAGTGGATAACAATCTTCATCCATTTTCAGACTTAAACCGGTTGAGATCGTGCTTGACGCTGAGGAAGTTCCGTATTTCAATGAATAAGTTTCTTGAAAGCTAGGCAAAGAGAGAGGACCACTTAAAGGAGAAATTAGAGTATCACTAGCCAAAGCCAAACGAGCCGATCCTAGCGTTGTGTTTGCCTGCGACGGATTTGTTACACTTTGCCTCTCTTGGACGGCATGCAAAGCTATGGCCGGATCACTACTGGATCTTAAACTAAGTAAACCTAATTCTTGCGGCGTTGAACGATCAAAACATAAAGAATTATCTTGCTCGGAATTTGAAGTACCAATAATTGTCTGCTGTTCCGGTATGGACGACAGTCTCTTATCGCGCAGGCAAGTTAATTTTGTAAGATTCTCGAGAGAGCTGGTGATGTCTTCACTGCTCCCAACTAAAGTTTCGCATGAAGAATGTAAATCTTGGAGATGGGTAACACTCTGTTGATGGCTGGTTTGCTGATCTCCTGTATGTGGATCTAAGCTGGTCGATAATAATGAATGATTGGAATCAGCAGGAAAGAATAAATCTGATAATTGATTGAATGTATGATCAATTAATTCGTTATGCTCTGTAGTTGTAGTGTCCGTTAAATTTCCTATGAGATGATCTTCGGTAGAACTTAACATATGATGGTCACTGCTATCGTTATGAATTTGCGTTGACGGCTGTGTATTCCCGCTTTGCGATAATTGATGATGTTGATGCGTAGAAATTTGTGAAGAAGTTTGCGTAGAGAAATTATCAAATGGAGAAAGAGAACCGAAAGAGCTCTGCAATAGTAAAGAGTGAAAATAAAACTAAATAATCTAAATCGACGACAAGCAGAAAACGTTATCAAAAGCCCCTCGAAAGACATGCGCCTTTATAAAAACAAAAAATATTGTGATTGGCAGTTATTTAAGTCTGCCGTAAGTTGTTTTTGCTTTTTACACATTTTTTTAATAAATTTTTTATATACTTATTATAGGTAGATAAGTATTCACGTAGAAAGCTATCAAGAAAAATTGTATCCTTTTGCTTACACCAACCCTTAATATATTCCACTTACGCTGTTTAATGTTTGTGGTGATAATTTGCTGATTGGTTGCGGTTAAATTGTGACAGTATTAAGTATGTTTGAAAACAAGCGGTTATAAATATTTATTAAGTAAATGTTTATATACACATAACATACGTTAGTATATGCAAATGTAATTAGGAACTGATTGTTCATGGTGTTGTGCAGAAGGGGAGCGCTTGCAGATAGATACATAGATGAAATGTTATAGCATTGTCAGGGGAAGAGCTATGATGAGCTATCTATTTCATTTTTATTGTACCATCATTTCCTCTAATCGCTAATAATCCGCCATAACTTAACTTAATATGAAAACTTGAGAAAGTTAAAGTTCCGTCGTCTTCACAGTTTGCAACAGTTTTTTTTAGTAAGAAACCCTAGCCATGAACTTAACAATCGTTCAGTATTCTTCAAGAAGTTTTACAGAAAGTGAATGACTTTTTGCTCTTTGTAGCTGGACCCCGATATATTGTAAGAATCCCAAGAACTGTAGGAGAAGGGGGAATGTTGCTCAAAGAACCCACATGAACCTTTCCGTTCATGTAATTGCTTGGTAAAGAAAGCTACGGCAGAAGGAGCCGGTGCGACTCTAAACGATATATGAAAGGTCCTTTCTTCAAACTGAATTCAGTTTGATCTACATTTTCCTATTTGAATGACAAGCGCGCATGCGCGAATGAAACGACTTAATTAGATAGTACGCACAATCCTATATTTACTCCTGAACGTAGGTAGGGGGCACGGTGTAGGTTTTTTTAAATATCGTTCTCGTGGTCGATGCAAAAATCGCCTTTTGGAAGCTGCACTTCGGGCCACTGGCAGTTCGTAGCAGCCCAAAGTCTTATCGACAGTTAACAGATTGTTCAAGAAATCATCGCAATCGCCCAAAGACGGCTGCGCGCTACCAAACATTTTTTTTTGTTCTTTGCAGACAATAACTTAGGCATTCATTTTGCCCGCTTATCGGTATTATGCAGATCTTTAAAGGCAGGCTCTTGCAAATAACTATTCGGGTTAACCATTTCTTACTTTCAACTGCATAAGTAATTGTCATTCAATCTAAATAGAAAGGCCTGAGTGTCTGTACGGTCTGATACCTTCACATAACCTAAATGGGCGCTTGCTAATTGTAAAAAAAAAAGAGATCAAATTTTTAGATTGAAACCGCATAGTCGAATTATATAATGAAGTTAATTTGCCATTGCGCTTAGATAACTTTTAATCTAATTTATAATTTAGAAAAAAATCAATTATGATAAACCAAAAAACAAAAAAACAAAAAAATAAAAAAAACAAAAAAAAAAAAAGGAAAAGCAAAAGAATTCTTACGTTTGGTTGCAATAGTAACATGCTTGTTGTAATATTTGTAAGCCGTGACTTCTGTGAATTATTATTGTTAGTTTGATTCCTGTGATTGTTGCTGTTGTTGCTGTTGCTGTTGCTCGTTGGTCTATTTGTTTGTGTTTCAATAGCTGACGCCTGTGTCTCACTGGTCTTTTCGCTCTTTACTTTGAAACTGGTCGTTGTATTTCTATTGTTTGGATTATTTGCTGTTATTTTCGGTGGTGTTGCGTTTGTTAATGCTGTTGCTGTAGTTAATGCTGTTGTCGCTGATATTGTTCTTGTTGTTGCTGTTGCTGTTATTGCTATTGTTGTAGCAGTGGGTGTTGTATTGGCTGCCGCTGTTGCACGTTCTTCTTGTAAATTAGCGTTAGTGTTAAATGATTTTGCTGCACCTGTAATAATGAAGCCGAAGAGAAGAGGAAAAAAAAGAGAAGCAAAAAAAAAAAAAAA